TATTTTATATACACGGAAAGCAGGTTTTTTATATGCATATTTTATTGGCAAAATCAAGGGTTCGAGTACAATATATGTTATGCATTTTAAAGTAGTCCAGCTGCTGCTGTTATAAAATAAATTTTGGTTTTCATTTAATAAATCACGTAAATTTATTTTTTTTGAGTGCTGTGCTGCTGCAACTTTATTTACCATTGAGAGACATAAACTTCACAGTACAGAACCTTTTATGTTTCAAAGTAGTTATTTGACTAGAAAAAAAAACAAAGCTAGCTTTGGCGTATTTCAAATTCAAACTGTCAAATAATTATTTATGGTGGTGGTGGTAACATTAACAATGCAATTTCAAGACCTCAATTACTACTAACATTCGCACAGATTTTACAATCTAAGGCTAATACTGTTGATCTACCTACAGATCTCACGCTGTTAACATTGTTTGTGTTTGGTAAGCCTTTAATCCTTTGGTTATTCTAAATATATTTTGATTTGCAATGTATATATATGTTTTGACCTTTTTAAAGTTAATATTCTTCTTTATTATTTAAAAAATTTACCCCATTTAACCATCATTAAAGGAATAGCCTATTATTTCAATTCGACTTATTCGAGTTCTCTGACTATCTCTACGTCACCATAAACATAACACCACGTCGCCGCCATTGAATGGGCCCTAATGCAACAATAATGGGACCATTAGCAAATGTTTTTGCATTAAATTACAAGTATTTTAGATTTTTCTTTTATCGTAAAAATAAGATGGAAAATCCAATATAGAGTAGTTGTTAATGAATTGTTTTTAATAGAGTAGTTGTTAATGAACCAGTTACTTGAAACATTAAGTCCTTTAATTTATTTTGGCATAGAAATTGATTGTTAATAAATATGCTAGTACTAATAAATGTGCACACTGAAAATCTTCGGATAAGGTTCCCGCATTCAACAATGCATTCACCATCTTGCAGATGATAACCCCAATGTTATTATTATATGTTTGTAGTACAATATATCATAAAAATATCCTTTGGCGAACATTATTTATTAATATATATAATTAATCCAAGATTTTTTAATTTCCATAAATCGTGTCATTTATTTCCGTACATAATGTTTATTGTTATTATTGTATAAGCGCTTATATGCACACAGTATTATAGGTGGGAAAAATAAAATAATAACAATAATCATCATGAGCCAAAAAAGTCTAATGACGTTTTACCATTTATTTACACGAGAACGACAATTTGTGATTCTTTTGTATATTGCGCAAATATCGGTTTTTTTAAATTAATTAATTAATCCTCCAATTAAAATTATATAACTTTGAGAGAGGGAAAAGAGTGGGATAAAAGAATAAAACAAATTGAAGATTTTTTTTATGACATGTTAATTAAATAATTAATTA